TGGGATCGCATCCTCGATTGCCTTTCTCAACAAGCTAAAATCTAACTCACCCATGACACTGCAGACTGTGGATCACCAAAGCTCGAAGTTAGTAAAGCGAGATCATCTGCATAGTCGAGATCAGTCAGCATGCTCAACATTGTCCTCTTCGAGTAGGACTTTCCCGAGAATCCAGTCAATGAAGTAGTTGAATAGAATGGACGACAGGACACAACCTTATGGAACGTTACACCGAATAGCGAACGGTTCTGAAAAGTTTTTATGGAACAGAACCCGAAGCTCTCTTAAAGGAACGAACCTAATACGTATATTACGTCAATGAACACCAAAAGCTGGTCTATTTATTCTGAGTAATTGTTAATGTAAGATTGCTTTGAAGGACGAAGAAAAAATTAAAGAATGAACTTACTGTCGCCTTTAAGGATCGCCGTACAGTGCTCAGACACATAAGTAACGATGTTGGCAACCTCGGGGTTTGCTGGTTGAATGTCACCAGCGTCGCTGTTCCCAAGAAAGAGGAAAGGTGTTATAAAATGGAAACAATTCGCAAAAGGAAGACTAATAAAATGTGCGTGGGGTTGCTGCATTTTTGGCAAAAGAGCAGTTTTAAAATGGTCACCTTCAATGCAAAACAGCTACCTGGTTCGTGATAATGTTTATTTACAAAATATAGCGAGGAAGCTAAACGGGTATTACGAGTGCAGATGTTTGGTTGAATACTCCTCGTCTCGTTTCAGCGGCCCCACGCCCAAGGTCAGCCTGCGTTTACCGAAAACCAGCCAGACTGGGAAACAACGGCCAAATATTGTGTGAACTAAGTATTTAATCCTGCCCCGGGGATTGCCACGGGTAGTGCAAAGCATGACTTCAGAGCATGCATGCATCAGTAATACGGATCGGCGCGAGATGTCCCCTGTTAGGTGGAATTCTAAACAACCCATGGAAAGCCTTCTAAATGACAGCACAGTTAAATACTGCAGGCGATATTTGAGAAGTTTCACGGTATGCTTTTTAAAAGCGACTATAGGCGACACCGTCAATGAAGAAGGTAGAAACCAGGCTATAAAGTAGATACGAATTTAGGCAGCACAGGGTAATTGAACGAGAAGTGAGGTGTTGAAGGTTGTACCACAGACAGTTGCCAAACACAGGAGCACCCAAGACCACAAATATGTCAATAAGATGGAGAGAGGCATGAAGGGAAATTAAAAATGCGTATTTACCTGCGTCGATAAAATGACATGTAGAGTACGGTAGCCAGGTTTGACGGGGTCATTTTCGTCTTATCAACGTTCTCGGTGATCTTGCCTAAAAGCCTAATGATCATAATTATATTCCTTTTGTTCGCCTCCGGCAGCGAGCACAAGAGAGAATAGGCGATCTCCGGGGTCATTCTACAAAAGAGAGCCGGAAAAGAATAATAAGCTGGATAGTTAGAAATGAGACGGAGAAACAGAAAAAAAAAAGACTGCGCTTCTTCATCTGTGCCGACAGCGGTATTCGAGACACTGCAAACGACTAGGTCTAAAAACGGTCCCCCCCCC